TCGACACAATTTGCGTGAATCCATCGTGAAGTGGTCGATGGGGCTTTGCCATACACAAATACCAAGGACGCTTTTGACAAGCGCATCATGGATCATGTGTTGCCACAATTGGTCCAAGCCGAACAGAACGGATTTGTCACGGGAATCCATGTGTCGGCCAACGCGTGGTCCTGGAGCAGAAGTCTTTGGAACATGAGACTTGGAACACTGCAAGTACACTGCTATTTGTTTGGACGTGAGTTGGAACATGTTTTGTACAATTTTGACGAAATTTCGATTTTGGACTGAATCTACAATAACCTGCTCACTTCCTCTTCGTTCTACCAATAATTCGCTATCATGCAAATATAGCAATGATATGCAATGCAAACCGCCCTATGTTGGTACATTACAGCAACAAAAACATCACAAACCATAAGAAAAATATCCTCACGGGGTAGATTTCCTGCACGAAGCCCGAGTGGTACAATGTTCAGTCCATGACATCGATGCACGATATTCCACATAATCAGATTGGGCTAGAACCTCATAATGTCCGTTTTGGCATCCCATTACCTAAAGAGAGGTCACCAAAAACTCTTGTCTATTACTACTCTGTTCCACAAAAATTGTCATGTTGTACTTTTGATTGGCGGCATTTTTCTAATAATACTCCGATTGATTGTCTGATCGGCGTTCTGGAAAGCGCAAGATCTCTGCTTTGATTGGGTAGTTTACAGCACTTTCCAGCACGGCAAGAAGGAAGATTGGCGTTTGGCCCTTCGTTCAAGTGGCGCCAGCGCAGCGTGGAAACAAGAACAGGCCGAGGGGCGCCATGGTCACCACACCACAAACCGTCGACGCACGACTGTATTTTAATACCATTTTAAATATGGTTGTCCCCGCCATCCAGGAAAAGTTTCCTAGATGTGGTAGACGGGGTAATGTGCTGATCCAACAAGACAATGCAAGCCCGCACAGAGATATAACGACAGAAAAACTCCGAAACCCCGTGCAGATGGAATTAGCGGAATTCAAGCTGAGAACCAGCCGCCGAATAGCCCCGATTTCAAAGGGTGAGATTTAGGATTCTTTAATTCTATTCAAAGCCAGCAGTACCGAAAGTGAACTCGAACCATCGAAGACCTTATTGTTGCTGTAGAAAACGCGTTCTAGGAATTGCCGACTGACACGCTTGTAAAGACTTTTGTAACTCTTCAAAATGTTATGGAATTGTCCATTGAAATACATGGCAGCAACGAGTATAAGCTTCCTCACATGAAGAAGGACACTCTCATTGCAGACTTTGCATCTTATAATGTCGAGTTTGACGCCTCGTCCTACGAGAGCGCTTTGGCTCATTTGAATAGCCGACTTGGTGAGGAGGTTCACCTCGATGCCATGGTCAATTCTCTTGAATGAGACATTAAAAAATACAATAAAATTCTGGAGCGAGTTATGTTGTTTTAAAGTGGCATACAAAAATTAAGTTGTTTCAATTGCCCTGTATATACTTTAATCAAGTGAATAACTACCTGACAGTTTTTGTGGTACGGAGTAGTACGTTTAACATATATTTTTCCTCAAGTGCTCATCTACGTTGATAACGTAAACGACGAATAAATCGTTAGTACTCACATTACGGGCAATAATATCTTTTTTGACTGGTTCCTCTAATATCATTGGCTGGTTCCAAAGTCACGCAAAACTGCGTCGTTCAATCAACGTCGAACTATGCCTACACCAGGTTCCCAAAAACTCCGGTTGTGTCTGCACACAGCCAAAAACGCATGGCTATGGATAGTGCACTATTGAAGCCTGGGAGGACACGCCATGTGAATTCATCACTCGGTCACTTGAAAATGCGCTGCCACTGACTCCTGTGTGTATTCTAAGCTTATCACTAGCAAATATATATCATTTTCGAAATAGTGTAGTTTTCAGAAATATTGTAGTATTTATTGCTGTTCGTCGTGGTCGTGGCAGAATATGAAGTGATATTGTAGTATTTATTGCTGTTCGTTGTGGTCGTGGCAGAATATGAAGTGGTGTTCCTCTTTTCTTTACTTTTAATTGTGGGTAGGGCATTTCAATTCGAAAACAGCTTAAATATAAATACTGTCAATTCTCCTTGAGGGAAATTTGCTTGCAAATACAAATTTCAAGATATGTCTCTAGTACCACTGAGGACATGTTTCCGTCCCTCACTGGACGGACCAGGCGGGTGCTA